AATATAATATTAATATTAATGAAGATAGAAAGTATACTTACTGTTGAAAATAACAGCTGTGTGTAGTGGTACACACTTGTAATCTCAGAAATTTTGACGCTGAGGCAAGAGAGTACTGTGAATTTGAGGTCAGCCAGGGCTACATTGTGAGCTCATAGCCAGTCTGAACCATATACCAAGATCCTGTCTCTAAAAACAACACTTTTATTTTAAATTTAGAAAAGTATTTCTAAGATATACTAGGAATTTGGCTTCTTCCTTCTCCTGGCTTTAAAAATATATATAGTTTGATGTTTCATAATTCTGGTATTAAATTTATGAAGAAAGAATTGCTTGTCTATTTCGTTCAGTGCTAGACCTTCTAAGCTTAGAACAAAACTTACCACATGGCATGATTCATTCAATATTTGCTGAATGAATTAATGAGTAAAATAAGAACATAGCAATGTTGACGATCTTTCAAGTTCTAAACAGCACAAGATAATGCACTGAGAGCCACAAAAATCTGAAACACAGTATAATCTCTAATCTGCAAAACAAGCTTAAATATAGTTTTCTGTGGTAACTAAAGGTGTCACCAGGTATTGAACTCTAATGAATGAAAGCAAATTATATAACAAGGTAAGAAAAGCTTGCATTCTTGTAAATTTTATAATTATTACAGAAAAAATTTATATTATTCTATGAAACTATGGAAAATTCAAAAATAAAATATAGTTGAAATGTAAAATTTTAATATCTCTGAAATAAATCTGGCTGTTATCCTTAGCTTCTTAAATATTAAATAGCAAAATGAGACAATGGATGCATTCAACATGACAGGATATAAGAAGACACAACATCTTATTAGTGAATGTGTAGTTAAAAGCAGGTTGAGTGGAATAAAAATAGAATATTTTATTAAAAATCACCAGCCAGGTAAAGTAGTACATACTTGTAATCCCAGTAAACGGGAGATGAGGCGGGAGGATCAGTGTGAGCTTAAGGCCCATCTGGCATAAACAGTGTGCTCAAATCCTGCCTGGATTACACAATGAGACCCTGTCTCCAAAATAAAAAAAAAAAAAAAGAGAAAAAAAACACCATCAGCACAGAAACAAAATAAAATAAAAAAGTCATATCCCATATATTGTTAATTTAAAATATTTTCAATAGGGCAGGCCAAATAGTTCCGAAGATTAAGGAGCTTGCTTAGGCAGATTCAGGGGCCTGGTGTTTGATCCCTGGCTTGGTGTGCTGGTCTAGGCCCCCGGGCACAGTGAGATGGCAATTGAGACTGGGCGTGGTGGTGTGCGCCTGTAATCCCAGCCCTTGGGAGG